TCCACCAGGTAACAGGGGCAGGCCAGCATAATGCCTGAACCTTTCAGAAACACTACTGTAAAATCAGACTTATTTTACTGATTGTGTCATAATCATTTTTGAAAGTGCAGTACTGAGAGGTACAGAGCAACGTTTTGCATAACAGGTGATACTATTTTAAATACATTTCTGTGCTCAGTTTCTTGCCCTTTACTAACAAGAAATACAATAAAACTAAGGTAAATGTTAAGTTTAACAATGAATTTTCTTGTATGTGTTTCATAGCATTATATAGTGATTGAATATGAAAATCACTGCCAAGAAGAACAATGGTACTTTTAAGCAGCATAAAATACTTTAATGAAAAAAAAACACAATACATATATGGAAATACTAAAATTTTAATGTAAATCAACACAACATTGTAATGTAAAACACCATGATATAATAAACTCTGTATCATTTATTTCTAGTGAAAATACAAATATTTTCTACTATGCATTTGTTCTCCTACCAACACTAGAGATCATTGTCATCAGATACATTATGCTGTTGGGGCAGGGAAGGGATACTTCATATTTCATAGAATACACACAGAATGGAATAAAGTGCTTTTTTTTTTTTTTGCTGTACGGGGTAAGTAAATCAGAATAGCATTTCTTACACTGCCATCTTATTATTTATTTAAATTATTTCTCATTGTGCTGGAAATCAAACTCAAGAGTTTCACAATCCAAAGGCAAGTGTTCTACCCCTGAGCTACATTCCAATCATACTTAAAAATCTCATCCCTGGGCCACTAGGATGGCTCAGTGGGTAAAGGCACTTGCTGCTAAGCCTGGGGACCTTAGTTCAAAACCGAAGACACACATGGTGGAAGGAGAGAACTAACTCTTGAAAGTTTTCCCCTGACCTTCATATATACATAAACATACACAAAAAGCAAATGCATCTAATTTTTAAAAATCTCATTCCTACTTAGTGATAAATATATTCATGTGTTTCATGTACAGTTTATACAAACAGCCTGAAGACAATGCAAGTAACGTTTCTGCACCTACATTCTGAATGCTGTCAACCAAGGGAAGGTGCGGGATTTTCCACTTGGAGCAGCATCATTTGGGGATACTACATAAAAGAGTTGAAATTTTTGTATTGCTTTATATTTTGGCCTTTAGGCTAGAGTATGTTGATTTTATTAGAAAAAGTTGCAGAACTGACCTAAAGAACAATGACACTTGGAAGACAAGCTAGGTAAAAGCACATTCCTGCACCCAAAACTATTTATTTTCACTAGTCTACATACAGCATGGCTTTCTACTGCAGATCCAAATTTGAGTGAATATACATTTACTATCATCAGTGAAAATATGCTCCCAACAGAAACATTAGGTAAGGGTTGGTAGATTTACAATGTCAAGAGCCACGGCGTATAAATAATTATACTTTGGTTCATACAGATAAGGTGCCTACACCTTTCATGGGAGAAATTCCAAGCTACACGAAGCCTTAAAGCAGTAGCAGCAGAGAGGGAACACCATGCACTTGAATTAGGGAAGTCACAGGCTACCATCTGGGGAATGAGGACAATGCCATTTGACAGCTCCTTCCACTCTTTACTGAAATGCCAATGTGTGTGATCTGACTATGCATGAGACTGAACTCCATTCTCTAGGCTGCATCATTCAGTTCATAATCCAAAGTACTCTGAGGCGTTGCCACATTCCCAGGTTACCTTACACTGAAATATGAAATGCTGTATATACTCAGAAACTTCTTTTTCTCCTAAGGAGCAATTTCTCTGCAAGAGTACAAAATGGCCGCAGCTTCTGGATTATGTTTTAAAATCCCAAAAAATTAAAACTAGGATTATGGTTTAGAGGTAGACTAAAAACTTATTATTCATTTAAATTATAGGGAAAACAGAGAAAGTCACACTGTAAGAGAATAATGGTAAAAATTCCATCTTGCCTATCAATCTTCATCTTACTTGGCTCTGGTTGACATTTCTAGTCAAAAGTCCATCTAGAGAATTATACTGCCTTTCAACATTTTGTTTCTGGAAAAAAGCCTTTCCAAATTCATATGTGCTGATCATAATGGCACAAGCAGGAGCAATTTTAATTAATCGAGGAATCAGACCTGACAAGAGAATAGGAAAACAAAAACCACATTTTACTTTATTTTTTTTAATGTAGCATTTGGCTTCACATAATGACCAAATTAAATAAATTGCAATACCAAATTCCATATCATAAATAGGTAGCAAAGAACAGAATAAACTGTTCACTCCCAAATCCCAATTTTCCTTATAACAATGAATCTACTATGGAACATTATTTTATAACAATATTTAGGAGAAAATAATCAATATAAAATGTTACCTATCAATTCTTCCTAAAAGTTAATTATGGAAGATTTAAAACCAACAAATGTGTCCACAGACTGGAGAGCAAGGATTTTTACCTGTAAACAACCCGGAAAATCCACTTTCAGAAACAATGTTCTTCATTATAGCCCAGGTTGACAAATGGAAAGGCACAGGAGCTATAAATGTTAAAAGAAAAAAAAAAAAAAAAACACCGTAAAACACGACTTAGCAATCTGCATCACAGATGTGTCTCAGATCTTGCTCTACTGCTGTGAATAAACACCCTGAGCAAGGCAATTCTTGGCTTACTTACAATTTTGAAGGTAGTCCATGACTATCATGGTGGGAAGCCGACAGGCCTGGTGCTGGAGCAGCAGCTGGGAGCTTACATCACGATTCTCAGGCAGCAGCAGAAAAGGAAAGGAAACACTGGCCCTGGCCTGGGCTTTTTAAGCCTCAAAGCCCACCCTCACTGACACCCCCCCCCAACAAGCCACACTTACTCCTAAGGCCACACCTCTTAATCCTATCCAAATAGTTCCACACACTGGAACCAGGCATTCAAATATATACGCCTATGGGGCCATTCTTATTCAAACCTTCACAGGATCATATACAAAGATGCTTATTACCTTTGGTAATATAACGTTATTATAATAAGAAAATATCTGTTTATCTAGGAGTTAACTTGCAATCTGTTTTGTTTTGTTATGTTTGAATATGTTCTTACTACACAGCCTCTGCTCTCTAGGCAAGGCTAACCTCAAGCTCAAAATCTTCCTGCCTCAGCCTCCTGAGTGCTGGGGTAGGAATGTGAACCACCAAAGCCAAGTTCAATTTTTAATGCCTGCCTGCCTTCTTTAAAGAGGCAGCAGCTCTAGATGCAAATGTGCAAGGAGCATACACCATCAGTGGTGTTGTTTGTAGTCAAGCCTTTCATGATGAGAAATGGAGGACACAGACAACCCCCTAATACATCTAATGCATCTCTTCTATTCTAAGGCAAATCCAGAAAAAAATTTTCATTTCTATTTTACTATTCATAGTTTAATTTTGTTGTTGTTGTTGTTTTATTTGTTTTTTTTTTTTTTTCGGTCAATGATGGTTCTGAGGACGGGTCATTCTCCTAATGATGTTGTGTTTCAACTGCAGCCTTTCTAATTAGATCTGTAATATTTCTTCAAATGACAGGTTTCAGGTAGCAGTACCATCTCAGCTATTTCCACTCAAGTATGGCGGTGGGTCAACAACAAAATATAAACACTCTGCTAAGAGAGGATGCCACTAAATTCAAATATAAACCCTATAATATAAATAACTGCACAAACTTTACCTGTATTTCACAGTTTCTATCCAGTTGGGTGAGTCCACAGAGTAGCAACACAGTAAATTTGAAAACAACTCTGAGAAGCAGGCAAGCTCTCTCGTGAACCGCCCACTCACCCCACTCACAGCTGAAGAGCTCTGCCTTTGCTTGGGACCAACTGGGGAATGAACAAACAACCCTGTGCTGCCTTCTCTGGCCTTTGAGAACTGCATAGTAAAATTTTATTTAGCAGTGTTTATACTATGACAATCCTTAGTCATGAAGACAGACTGAAGTACACACCCCCAAGCAAGCACGACAAAAAAAGAAACGTTACAGAAAAATATCCTCTAAAAAAATGTCTATTTCAACTGTAGACTAGATGAATAGATTTTTAAAGAAAACCCAAGACTAGATAAAACTCACAGCACTAGTGAAGAAACACACACTGGATGTGAAAAGATGGAAGTAAGACATAAGTAAACAGAAGCCAAACCACACAGGAAGGGCTGTGCTTAAGACTCAAAACAGACCTTCCTCCTCTCAGGGCTCACAACAGTCTCACTATGCAGGCAGCTAGGCCTCACCTTGGGATTCTCCAGTGCCTCAGCCTCCCAAGTTCTTAGAATTACAAAAATTTACCACTACTCAGTGATTAGCAAAATAGATTTTAAGGCAAAAATGATCCCAAAAGACAAAAATCACCACATTGTATTAATTCCCTAAATATTTCTTAAATCAAGAATTAAAATGATTAACAATTTAAATAATATTTTAAGTTATCAAATATGTTTGGAAAAACTTAACCTCTAGAAAACATACAAGTTTGGGTCAAGCTTAAAATGGTGAAGCTAAGTATCACATTGTTAAAAAAAACTAATTAATTTACACATTTATGAATATGCACCATGGTGCATATGTGGAGATCAGAGGTCAACTTGTTGAGTCAGTTCTCTCCTTCCACAAAGTGGGACCTGGGGATTGAACTCAGGTCATTAGGCTTAGTGGCAAGTGCCTTACTTGCTGAAAAATCTTAGTAGCCTAAATTTTTAAAAAATTAAATAAAAATGGTGTATTTACAGATGAGGTAAATGTTAAAGAATTGGCACTTACTACACCCCAGTGTTTCTGAATGTTCCCTGTCTTCTGGTAGGTTTTTGAGGTAGGTACCTCATTTATTGGTGCACTGCTGCCTGGTACCCAAGCCAGAGTAGACAGTCAATAACTGAGCAGTAGATGAAGAACAGACTCACTTTCTTTTATGCCTAGTACTTGACTCCTTGGTTCCCAGTTGGTAGACTGTTTGGGAAGTGTTTGGTGTGACCTTGTTGGAGGAGGTGTGTCAGTGGGGCTCCACCACTGCACTCTTTCTTGTCTGCCTCTCTCGGCCTCAGATGGGAGCTACCGCTCTAGCTCATGCCTGCCTCCCTGCTGCCATGTCAGTCATGGACTCAAACTCCGAAACTCCAATCCCCCATTAAATGCTTTCTTCTATAAGCTGCCATGTCATGGTGTTTTGTCACAGCAACAGAAAAGGAATTAAGACACTTAAAGATAAATGAAGTCATTTCAAAACAGAGCGAAGTTATTGGGAGGGGGTGGGGATTGGGATAAATAATGTATAATACAAATGATGGATAATACAAAACAGTTTCAGGCTATTTACTGTTTAACTTTGCAACCTTGTTAGAGTATCTTGTTAGAGTAGTAAAGAGTCACTAACTCAAGTGGACAATGAGAGTCATAGCAAATGAAAACCCAGCTCTTCTTTCAGGTTCCCTATTGGGAGCTGAAAGAGGCACTGATTAGATAGAAAAACCTACTGAAAAAGATGGCCTCCTTGTCTCAGTCTCAGCACCAAAGCCACAAGCATGCTGCTTATGAGAAACTGCACCAGATAGAAACTCCTACCCCAGATACTTAATGGGTGACACGTTTGATGAGAAAGAAGGAAACAAAATAATTCTAAGCTGTCATAGGAAAGACAGTGCTTAGGCAGCTGAAGGCTCATACAGAGAAAAGAGAAACTGAGAGAATAAACTATAATTACTTCCCAGGCTTCAGTACTGTCTAATATTAGAGGAAACTTGGTATTTAGCAGGTCAAAGATAAAGCCATTCAGATTAATTTATAGAGGTTCTCAAATAACATTTCCTTATTATTATAATGCCAACTCTATTAAAATCATCGCAGATTAGAAAGTATTATCTGCATTAATAAGATAATAAGCCGCCATGAAGCTTACACTAAACATTTACAGTGGAAATTCCTTTAGACCCTTTCTTCTCATCTCCCCCTTTTTCCAGATGGGTCTCACCATGTACATTAGGATGGTTTTGAACTCACAATCCTGCCTCCACCTCCCAAATGCTTGATTACAGGCATGTACATCACAGCCAGGCTTGCTAGACTTTTAAACCAAAATAAATGAAGGTATGTGTGGCAGGGACTGGTAGAAGTAAATAAGAGTAAACTTTCATTCTAGAAGAAATTATAAGTTACAAAGAAGTAAAAAATAAAGATGAAGAAACAAGTAGGGAAAAATAGTAAGAATAAGGAAGCTAAACATAACTTCATGAAAAAAAGGTCCTCAGTAATTTCCTACCATCTTTTTTTGAGACAAGGTCTTACTATGACGTAGCCCTGGATGGCCAGGGTTTTTTTAATCATTTATACTGATTTGTCTAGATTTAGTTATTGATTTATTTCAAAGAATACTTAGTGAATAAAAATATAAATTTGAAATAGATTTGAAAATAAAATATAAGAAAAAGTATAATGTAGCTTTTCATGATAAAAGTAATTCTTTTCTTCATAGCAGTTAAGAGACTTAAATGGTGGTAGACAGGAAACAGGCTTTAAGATTTCTACAATTTTCTTAGTATTTTTCTAGGTATTCTATTCTAACAGCACGTCTTTATCAGTTTCATTGAAGAGGAGTAAGGTCTAAAAAAGACAACAGTGTTTCCTGATTTTATGTATTCCTAACAAAATCACATAAGGGAAACAATGGCATCTTAAAATGCTTTAAATTAAACTTACATTTTCTACTTTCGTGAGTCCAAAGTTGTGTCTGTTTCTGTGTTTTCACCACATCAAATGGTAAAGTTGCAACAGCTGCAAACTATCAAAAAAGTAAATTTAAATCAGTAATTAAAAAAATACGTTAAAAATGTATTAGCACATTATTTAATATGGATGATAAAATCACAAACTGGTATTTAAAATAACCAGTTTTTATTGATGCAAACAGGTTACATCTCAACGATTCATCATGAAAACTCCAAAGTAAACTGCCTCAGAAAAGTCCCTGTTTTCTTTCCTGAGATTATGGCTGCCAATGGCAAAGTCAGAATCAGTCCCATGTGGCTTTCTACCCAGTGTTTGTATCTTCTGATTCTCCTGTGTCTTACAATACTATTTTAGTATGTATTGTTTGTCAGTGTGGATGTGGGGGTCTCACGTAGCTCAGTCTTGCCTTGCACTCAACTGAGTAGCCAAGGACTCTTGGCTACTGACATTCCTGTTTATATTTGCCAAGTGTTGGGACTACAGTCATGAGCCACCACACTCAGTTTTTTAACATATTTTAAAGCAGAAAGTCTCCAGTATGTACTTAGCATATGATAATTTCCAGCAAACATTTTCCAAATATTAGAAAAACTAAATTTAAAAGCTAATAAAAATGTACTTCAAACTTTTAGTTTCTATATACCTTTTAATGGGTTTTATAGTTGCAATGGTTCAAAAATCACGTTTTTCTAATTCTCAAAGTGATGCAATTTAATACATTTTTCCATACTGCTTTAAGTAAGATTTTAAAAGAAAATTAAATTCCTTTAAGAATGTTCTCCTATCTGATATAATAGCCATATACAATATTTGTGCTTCCAGCTCATATTTGAATTAATAAGATTCCTAAAATGCCTCTTAAAAATCACAGTTTATTTCATCTTAACAATTTGCTGTTCTTGAAATCAGTTGCAAAGATTGCAGATAATATGAACTGCACGTTTTAAGTAACAGGTAAGAAACTTCTGTGCTTTTTCCATTGCATGGACAAATCTTTGAAAGCTGCTAATGCTAACAATCATGTCTAGATTAAAAATTAACATGGTATGTTCGGTAGCAACATTAAATTGGAGTCTTTCCTATTCCTGTATAGTAGGTGTTTCCTGAAGCCCACATTCAATGCTAATTATTTTTACTCCCATGTTTACTGCTAGTAGAACCGACAGACTAAGATCGCATATTGTTCCAATTTTCCTGCAACTTTCCACTTCTCTACTCAGTCCTTTAAGTCTTACTTGTTTTTCTTTCTTTTTTAAAAGATTTATTTTGTATACAGTGTTCTGTCTGCATGTATCCCTGTTTACCAGAAGAGGGCACCAGATCTCACTATAGATGGTTGTGATCCACCCTGTGGTTGCAGGGAATTGAACTCAGGACCTCTGGAAAAGCAGGCAATGCTCTTAAACTCTGAGCCATCTCTCCAGCCCTTACTTATTTTTCTTAAAGAAAAAGGACATCATCATGCAGTCCAAGCTGGCCCTGAACTCCAGGTCTTCCTGCTTCCACCTCTGGAGCACTCAGCGCTGACTGAGTCTTGTTGCTCTGTAACTACATTCTGTCTGCGTCATGCAATAAGTGATCACACATTAATTTTGGAAGTATGTGGATCTAAGAGAACTCTTCATGGCCAAGGTGGTGATGAGATGCACCTGTACCACTTGGAGGGTAAGGAAGGATGAACTTCCTGTTCCCTAAAATAGTTCTTTGTGATTCTTCCCTTCTGGTTTCAATGTTTCTCAGAATTCCTTCAGAAATTTCTAAATAGCCAAAATGTTCCCAAAGAACCGCAGCAGCATAGGCTTGAACATGTCTGTTTGATTTGGTGCAACATATTAGACAAAACTCCATGACTATTAGCTAACCATATCTAGTAGCTTTTATTGAACTGTAAAATGCTCTGTGAGAAAAAAGTGCTAATCCACACAATCATGATGATAGCTGTACTTATTTAAACAACACAAGTTCGTTCGAAAATGAGTAAGTGTAGAATTGAAAATATTTTAATGGCTAGTAATGTATTTTCTGAAAACAGGAAAAAAAAGTGTCCTCTCAATATGCATGAAATGCTAGATAAAATCTTGTTCTGTTTTAATACTAATTAGCAATTTTCTGGAATAGTAACAACAACAACAACAAAAAAGAAAAAAAAAAAAACTTACAGAACCAGACAATGCCCCTGAAGTAAAGTTGATCATAAATGTCGGTTCATATAAACCAGATTTCTCACACAACCACTTCTTTAAAATTTCATAGTTATACCAGTACATTGCTATAAAACAGAATGAAATGAGCACAGGTTTAGAAACACAACGTGGACTTTAGAGAACAGAGCTAAGATGTTACAAATCAAAGTAAAACAGAAACTCCAGTCTTGACACACTGCCCTTTATGCTTAAAACTAGATGGGATTAAAAGGGGGGACTGAAATTCTGGGTAATATTTTAGCTTCTACATCAATGTAGCTGAGGTATAATCAGACACCTGACAGGACAAGCAGGAGAAAGACAGGTAGGTACAGGGCGATCCATAGCACAGTGTAGGAATGCAAACCAAGACAAAGCACACAGAACCGGAGTACATAAAAGGCCAAACACGGTGGCTAGATGGAGGCAGTCCATAAATAAGGGTAGTTAGTATAATTCATGTTACATACTGCATTAATAAAACCATGGGAGGGGCTACTTATGATGGGAACATTTAATAAAATGAACACTTCCATTTAAAGCAAACTCAAATTTCTTGGAAATACAGAAATAAAAACTTGGGTCTTCAGACTGATAAAAGATATGCATGAAAAATTTGTAGCAAAAATGACTACTAATATATAGGAAGAAAAAAGGACAAATAAAAATAAAAACATTAAAGTTCTAATGTATATTATCTCCAAAAACCTCAAAATATATTCAGAAAAATTAGTGTTTATTCATCTTTTAAAAGGCAGCTAGATATCAGCTAATAGGGAAAACTCAATTGCAATTATAATACCTACAAAGATTTATAAAGCAGATCTATTATGAATATACAGCTTCAAAAAACAAAAACAAAAAAGGCCTGGTGAAGTAGCTCAGAGGGACAGCACTAACCCAGCACACACAATGTCTGGAGTGAGTCCTCCTCACAAACGAACACACACATACTATCACTGCCCACAGGGTGTAGTAAACCTATAACAATATATAAAAAGAGTGTATATAACCTTTATGAAGAAAATTTCAAATAGCTACTGGAATTCTTTAAAGAATATTAACAGAGATATATCATTCTTAGGAAAGAAAAATAAGGTAACAATAGATTTTTTTTCATAAATCACTAGTGATTTGGACAGTATTACTAACAAATTAGTATTACACAAATAAACCAGTAACACAAGAATCCATCCATACACGAAAATATCTCTACAAACTGAAGTTACTCAATGAATGATGTTGACAATGGCTGACCTATATGTTGGGTCATATCCCCAAATCAATTATCTCTAAACAAATGGCCAAAGAAACAATGCCAGCCTTTAAAAGTAATCACTGAGATGCAAATCAAAGTGAGACACTTTAAATGACCAAATAAACACAATTTGAGTACCTCAACAAAGAAGAGCTTATGAAAGTGCAAGGCAGCAAAAAACATCATCACTGATGATAAACCACTTAATTTTGCTTTACTATGTTTATCGTGTGGGTGTGTGTGAGTGCACACGTGGAGGTCTGAAAATAACTTGCAGGAATTGGCTCTCTCCTTCTGTCACATGGGTGCTGGAGACTGAACTCAGGGCACAGGGGTTGACAGCAGGCACCTGTATCCACTGAGCCATCTCGCTGCTCCTTTCATTCCCTCTGTTGTTTTAAATAATTTAAAATTTGACTGTATGTGTTTTTGACTCCATGTCTGGCATGCCTGGGTCAACAGAGATCAGAAGAGATGTCATATCTGGAACCAGTTAGGACAGCTGTGAGCTGCCATGTGTGTGCTGGGAACCAGATCCAGGCCTTCTGCAAGAAAAGCAAATGTGGACAGTGCTCTTAACTGCCGAGTTATCTCTTCAGTCTTGTTTTTTGCTTTTTTGTTTGTTTGTTTGGCCTTAAATTTATCTGCCTGCCCCTGTCCTTTGAGTGTTAGGATTAAAGGCGTATGCCACTGTGTCCAACTAAAAGTGAGCCTTTCAAAAAAGTGATTATAACCAGGTGTAGTGACTCATGTCTGTAAGAGCAACACTTGAGAGATTGAGGCATGAGGATCACCATGAGTTTCAGGCCAGGCTAGACTATGCAGGAAGACCCTGTCTCAAAAAAAAAAAAAAAAAAAAACCAAAAAAAAAAAAGGCTCACATTTAACTAGCAAAATTAGAAATAGACCTAAGATATTTAGATGAATCAGCAAGTCCAATATGGGAAAACAGTTGCATAGACACAATAAGAAACTGTATAATTTTTTTTTTCAGAGCAAGCAGTACTATTTCATTTATTCATATACAAGAATAAAAAGAAAACAGTTACCCATAAAACTAGAATGCATCTTATGAAAAGCTTTGAGTAGGAGGCAGGTAGTTTTAAAGATCAAAAAATAAACAATGTATTTTTCAGCATAATCCATTGGAAAACATTTTATAATCAAATAGATGACAAAAATCCAGTATGGGGTCAATGTGGTGGCTCAGTGGGTAGGGGCACTTGCTGCTTTGTTTGACGACCTGGGTGTGAAATCCAGAGCCTACATGGTTGAAGGAGAGAACCAACTCTTATACTCTGACTTTCATAAGTGTTTTAAAAGTTCATAAATGCTACTATGGAGGGTACCACTGGGGTCAAGGTGTCAGGCAGCAGAAAAAGGGCATATAAATGACTTCATGGTCTAACACACTCAACAGTCAAGCTCATACAGTGACATGGCAAATTCACAGGTTTTCATTTCATAAGCATACATATGTGTTTCTTTTTACATAACAGAATATATTTTTAACACATTCTCTTTTTTCAATTTTTAAATAGAAATTTAAATATAATTTTTTCTAATTTCAATTTTTATATACATTGGTGTTTGACCTGCCTCTTTGTGAGGGAGTTGAATCCACAGGAACTTGAGTTACAGATAGTTGTGAGCTGCCATGTGGGTGCTGGGAATTGAACCTGGGTCCTCTGGAAGAGCAGCCAATGCTCTTAACTGCTCAGCCATCTCTCCAGCCCCCAGAACATATTTTTAAAGGTAAACTGGCATAGAAGGCTATGACTAATTACTTACTTTATGTCTCTATGTAGTATAAGTGAACCTACTTGACTATTAATAGTCTTTTACAGAATATTAATGGGAAATGTTTGTTTTCAATTACTGAAAAATTAAGAGTTCAATTAAGTTAAAGATGGTCTTAAGGATGTTTTTATAATATTTTGATTTGTATTTTATTTGTCTTATTATGACTTATTTAGGATAGTTAAGGTAGTTTGTATTATCTGAATATGAATATGAACCAATGAATACTTAGCAGCATTTAGGCACAAGAAGAAAACACAAGGACCTGAATTAGAAACTGTTCAATCAGTAAAGGCTTGGACAAATCTCAAATTCAAATAATGAACTACAAATCTGTGGTCAGTACAAAAAATTTATTTTTAGCCATAAAGAGTTTAAAACCTAGTAAAATTAACACGTGACCTAAGACAAAGTTTAACAGCTACTAATAAGACAAGTCCTACCTGAGAAAGGCACATCTCTAAGAATAGTAGGGGCCCAGCCCTTCCAAAGGGAGATCCAACCATCTTCAGACACTTTCATGCTCACAAATCGATGTAGTTCCTTGTAAGAAAACTTCTTGGACTGTACCTTAGTTCTGATCAACTCTAATGGGCTTATCACTGTTACTGCACCAACTAGTACAAACAGGAGAGCAGAGAAATTAACGCACATATGATGGCAGCCAAAATTAGCATTTATATGCTTTGTTGTTGTAACCCCTCCCTCACTATCACAAATCATGCCCTCAAGTTTTCTACATTTGGGGGACCTTTCAGGGGTCAGCACACAAGCACAATGAGCAAGCTTCACCCTGGGAAAACTCTCCTGCCAGGGTTTGTGTTTTTAAAAAATTAATTAATTAACTGATAAAGTAAAAGGTGGCATTTACAAATATACTTGGTTTTGGTTGATTTCTGTTTCCTGCCCCCCCACTCCATGTGAGCCCTTTCCTCCACGAATCCTTCTGCCCCCAGTGTTGCACCTTCCCACATCAATATCCCATGTGTCTATGTTATCCTCAGTTTCTCTTAATGTCTGTAAAGACTAAAAGAGAATAGTTAATGATGTTAAAAGGGTTCTTCTTGAGCCAGGCGTTGGTGGCGCACGCCTTTAATCCCAGCACTTGGGAGGCAGAGGCAGGCGGATCTCTGTGAGTTCGAGGCCAGCCTGGTCTCCAGAGCGAGTGCCAGGATAGGCTCCAAAGCTACACAGAGAAACCCTGTCTCGAAATAAAATAAAATAAAACAACAACAAAAAAAGGGTTCTTCTTTCTCATGATAAATGTGTCAAAATAGACACATACCTTTTCTTCATTTCTGCTCTTTCAAGGGTAATACTAGAAATTCTGGAGTCAACCAGAGAACTGCTACAAATCCCAGTTAGTAGTCCCACATAAACAACTACTTCCCCTCCTCTTCTGTTTTGATGAAGGGTCTCACTATACAGCCCTGGCTGGCAGAGAACTCTCAATATAGAACCAGGCCTTCAGAGATCACCTGCTTCTGTCTCCCAGGTACTAGGATTAAAAGCATACGCCACCATGCCCAGCACAAGCCTATTTAACAGAGACTGTTCTGCAGAGACACTATCTTCCTTCTGACTAAGCTCTGAATCCCAGAGTTTATAAGAAATATGATTTAACCTTTAGCCTGAGTCATGTATGGACCCAAATATGTTGGAAATTTAGGTGAATAAGAATAAACTCTAACATCACTCTTAACTATCTAAGATTCAATGAAAATGAGATAATCCTATCTCGTTCTCATGGCAATCACCTACTTACTTCATCACTTCTAGAGTAGAGATATCAACAACTAATACAAACTACATCATACCAGTATTCTGTACATTAAACAGATTCTCTGCAAATATCAGAATTTAAATAGATGTTCTAAGTAGAAATCAAAATAAAAACAAGTTCACTACTTACATCTGGCAACAATCCCAGCAACTATTGGAATTCGGGTTTCATTTTCTCCTAATTTTGCTCTCAAAAAAGCACTTAATTGTTCGTAGCAGGTAAAATAAATAACAGTGGCAGGAACTGCCATCACTCTGTTAGAAACACACACAAAATATGTTCAGAGTTATCAAACAGCTTCAGCTATACTGCCAAGTTCATATACTATATGTTTTTATATGGGATAAACTAGAAATTACAATTACCCCATGAGAGAAATGTGCTTGTGTGCATATCTGCATGTGTATGTACTTGGATAGGTCTGTGTGTATGCATGCACAAAGAGACAAGGTCAAAGTTGGATGTATTAATCAGCTGCTTTCCATCCTACTTCTTTTTGGGATAGGGTCTCTCACTGAACAGCAAGCTCACTGATCAGCCCGCAAGCAGCAGGGACATTCTGTCTCCACCTCCCCAGTGGTAGGACTACAGATGCGCGCCAATGTGCTGGCATCACACTGAGGTCCTCAGGCTTCCCTGGAAAGCACTCTACCACCACTTGAGCCGTCTTTCCAATCCCAATTATGCTTAGAAAACAACTGTAAAACAGTTTTAAACCCAGATCATATATCACAGCAGCTTATAAGTAGAAGTAGATTATAATTACACTGCCAGGATTATATATGTTACTTGTGAGGGAATACTGATGACATTTTAAATGAAAATATCAAAGTGAATTATTAAGTTCAAATAAAAATTTCAGATGTCTGCATGTCATACAGATTAATGCAACAAGAAATCATTTTATGTTTATGGTATATCATTAACAGTCACAGTGACAAACCATAGCTTGGAGTGCTTATACTCTTATAGAGATGTTCAATGCTAAGAATTTAGAAATAGGACTGAATAGTGGCCCCAGAGCTGTCACTAACATTATCATTTTAGGCATTAAAATATATGCCTCAAAAGTGACTCAAGAATGAAAAATAAAAAAAACCCCCCCCCACACACACACACACACACACACACACACACACAACAAAACAAAAAAACAGAGGAAGCTGTGAGAAACAAATGAAACAGAGGAAGCCAAGACATCTTCTGGAGTTTTTACATCCAGCTTTTTAAGTTTACCATGCTTATTCACAAGTCCATACTTAATAGAGAACTAGAATTGAATATATAAATATTCAAAATACCTAACAGTATTAGTACAACAAAAAGAAAAACAACAAATTGTTTATTTTTAAATAAAAACAAAACAAAAAATGTGGACAGTAAAAACTTAACACAGAGGGCTTGGTTGCTTAAATTTCAAGAGAGCCTATTTGTATACTAACCTTTAGCACTAGAATGTTTTTGAGGATAGTACTTTAGGTATGTCTAAAGCTCAACAATTAATCTGGACTGATGATGCAAAAGGTGTGATTTGTGGCATACAACTACTTTCTTTGGGGGGGGTAATGACATTTTTTCAGTTGCAAAGTGCAATGGGATGTCCTTCTGTATGCTGCCTGCCAGTGGCCAGGCAGAATATAGCCAGGCAGGAATCCAAACAGTTATGGAGAGAAAGAAGGAAGATTCCATGTAGACGCCGCAAAAGCAATAAGTGAGGTAACAAGCCACGAGAGAGCCTTTGTGGTAAAATATAAACTACTAGAAATGGGTTAATTTATATGTAGAGCTAACCAGTAAGAAGCCTGAGCCATTGGCCAAACAATTATAATTAATATTAAGCCTTAGAGTGGTTATTTGGGAACTGGTTGGAGGGACGAGAAAAACCTCCCACTACAGCAAGACAGAATACTCCATGTAGCCAACACACAATAGTAACTGTACATTCTGAAACTCAGGTGAGTCTTCCAAAGCAGAAACACCCCACACACTGCAGTTACTTGTTGCCAGAATAAGTACATCCTGTGCTATGCCAGGAAAAGGATTTTAAAAAGTGACAAATGGTCACCTAATGTGTCCTTTTCCTGACCAACTATACTTGGTATGCTCTAACTGTAATGAACCATATACATGAATATAACCTTTCCTGGCTTCTGTGAGTCCTTCTAGAACATCAAATGTACAGTTATGAAACTCATAAAACAATACTTCAGGAAAAGAAAGAGTCCTAATATTCAAATGCAAGACTGTTCAACAATGTTGATTTCAACCATGCTTAGTAGAAAAAACATAGTCAATTTCAACTTACAGAGTAGGAGGGAGGCCACTCCACAGCGATTTAATGCCCTCGTTTCGAAGAATTTTTAAAAAGGCATCCTAAAATTATATTAGAAAGGTAAACAAAATGCATCTTTAAACCAGATAAAAATTCATAATGGTAACTGATAATTTGAATTTGTTAAACATCCATTTCTAAAATACAAGTTTCTTGGACTTAAGGATGCTCATTCTTAAAAACAAGAGACAATTTCATATACATAAGGTGGAATGTATCCTTATAGAATGAAGTCTCCACTACTTTTTCTGGCATGTTTTTAAAAAACTTGTTTCATGTTGTTTTTAATCTAATAAGCTTTTGAGTGGCTGGAGAGATGGCTCAGCAGTTAATAAGCTTGCTCTTCCAGAAGACCTGAGTTCAGATCCCAACACCCATGTTAGGTAGCTCACACCTGCCTGTAAGTCTAGCTGCAAGGGGATCTGATGCTCTCTTATGGCCTCTGTGGGTACTCATATACATATGGGCACAGATTCACACAAACACATATGCATAAATTAAAAAATTTTAAATAAAATAAAAAGTTTTTATAAGAATACTATAAAAATGAAATACAGAATTGGGGCTGGAGCGATAGCTCAGTGGTTAAGAGCACTGACTGTTCTTCCAGAGGTCCTGAGTTCCTAGCAACGACGTGGTGGCTCATGACCACTCTGAATGAGATCTAGTGCCCTCTGCTGGCATGCAGGCAGAAGACTGTATACATAATAAATAAAATCTTTAAAAAAAAAAAAAATGAAGTACAGAATTGATCACAGAACCTCTCCTAAGTATGAAATCTGAGACACTGTCATTAAACACCACTTTCTGAAGTATCTGGAGAGGAATCAAAAGCAGTCAGCAACTAAAGCAAAGCCTGCTCTGAGCAGGCAAACTCTTACAACTTGATAGTAAAAACTTTAAAAATGTCAAAAGATAGAATAGAAATATCATCATGGAAAATATGCTCAACATCATTAATAACTGTGGAAGTGAAATGCAGGACCACTTGGAGCACATCAGGAAGACTGAAATAAAAAGGTAAGTTTGGACTGGGCGGTGGTGGCGCCCACCTTTGATTCCAGCACTTGGGAGGCAGAGGCAGGCGGATCTCTGTGAGTTCAAGACCAGCCTGGTCTACAATAGCTAGTTCCAGTACAGCCTCCAAAGCCACAGAGAAACCCTGTCTCAAAAGCAAAAAACAAAAAAACAAAAAAACCCGACACACACACACAAAAGCAAGTTTGGTGCAGCAATGCATGCCCGGAACTCCGGCTATTTTCTTTCCCATGATTTAATATTTTGAACTTTTAATTTCTTTACAATTAGAAAGTCATATATAACAATAAATACAAGAACAGAAAACATACAAAGATTCCAAATAAAAGCATCTCTTTACCAATGTTCCCTGGAAATTTCCTGGCTTCTTATACCATGCTTTGTTGTTCCCATCTTCACAGACACACATATGATCCATGAGTCCATTACTGTATACAAAACACTTTCCTAATAAAGAAGAGTCCAATAACCAGTAGTTACTTCATACAATGACATTATTTTTACTGATAAACTGCAAGTACAGCGACACTAGAAAAGTTTAGAAAGAGAAATTCTAGGATGGAACATACATAATTAGCTCAGTTTGCTCAAGGTAAGTAAGCCCTGTTCTCTAAACTCACATTGTGACAAGTGACAACATGAATTAGTGGGCTTTATGTATTCAGAACCATGGATTTAAAAAAAGTTCACTGTAGTATTTTTTAGGTTACCTAAGGGATGGGAGATGGAAGACAGAAAGAGAAACATGTTTACATGCCAACTCTTGCACACAAGGGAAATTTGTATAAAAACAAGCAGAACAAACGTTACTAACGTAAGCAGTACAATGCTTGTGTTTTCTCTATTTGTACTGCTATCTAGCGAGCTATCAACGCTACTTACCACAACTTGTCCTAATGGACTCACACGTGCTGATAGGATGTCTTCTTTGTTCAATGACACGTAACTCTGAGTCACAATGTACAAGTCTAAGCATTCCCTTCTACTTCTACAACTTTAATGTGCAAAGGTAATCGTTTAGTCTTTTTTTACTATTCACTTACCCTTCTATGAAATATGACTGTTCATTTCACCTATTTCTATATATTCAAAAAGAAAGCTGTCTTTTTAAATATTATTATTATTGTCTCCATCGGATTGATGCTGAGACTAAAACTAGGCTTCATTCATGATAGGAAAGCAATGCACCCATTGAGCTACATTCTCAGAACAGGGAGCATTCAAATAAGGCAATTTATCATAGCTCAGTCAACTTTTTGCTATTTGTGTTTGATATACTACCTTTATAAAATTTTCTAAGGTTGGTTATAGAATTGGTATTCTTGTTCGTCTGATAAAATATAGAATGACTTTTATCAAATTCCATATAGTCATACAATGCATTATAAAATAACCGAGAGAAACAGGCAGGCTAACGGCAGACTTTCACCTCTCCTTTCTCTCCTCCAAATCCAGTTGCACCCCCATCTCTGTAGCAGACACCTGCTGTGGCCTCCCCCTCCTTTCTGCCCCATGTCCATTTGATCAGGAAGATCTCCTCCAACCTTCCTCCCCACTCATCCTGTTATTCCAGGGCCAACTCTAGCAGGCTTTCTCTGGAACACTAAGTGTATGGGACAAAAAAGAATATTAAAAGCTTCAAGGGACAAGTAACACATAAAAGCAGACCTATTAAAATAACACTTCTCAATAGAGAAGTGCCAGAAGGGCCTGAACAAATGTTTTACAGACTCTAAGAGGGCACAGATGCCAGGCCACACTATTATATCCAGCAAAACTTTCAACAAACAATAGATGGAGAAATAAGACATTCCATGACAAAACCAAATTTAAGCAGTATCTATCTACAAATCCAGCCCTACAGAAGATGCTAGATGGAACACTCCAATGTAAAGAGGTTAACCACGCCCCAAAACACAAGGAATAAATAATCCCAGACCAGGAAATCAAGAGGTGAAGCACACACACACACAAACAAAACCCATCCATTTGGAATATACAAGAAACACACCTAACATCAAGGATAGACATCAACTCAGGGTAAAAGAATGGAAAAAGATATTCGAAGCAGATGGACATAAGAAGCAAACTGGCATAGTCATTTTAATATCTTACAAAATAGATTTCAAACCAAAAACTAGCCAAATTAGATAGCGAAGGACACTGCATACTCAAAGAAAAAAATCTACCAAGAGGACATTTCATCTTAATATCTATGCCCCAAACACAAGGGCAACCATGTTCGTAAAAGAAATGCTATTATAGCTTAAATCACATACTGACCCTCACTCACTGGTAGAGGATGACATCAACACTCCAATGTCACTAACAAACAAGTCATCCAGACAAAAACTAAACAGAGAAACACTGGAGCTAACTGTTGTCTTAATCCTAATGGACCTACCAGATATTAAAAAACATTTCTCTCAAACACTAAAAAATTTTATCTCCTTCCCCCCCCCTTTGGTTTTTCAAGACAGGGTTTCTCTGTATTGCTTTGGAGCCTGTCCTGGAACTCACTCTGTAGACTAGGCTGGCCTCGAACTCACAGAGATCTGCCTGCCTCTGCCTCCCAAGTGCTGGGATCAAAGGCGTGCGCCACCAACAACCGGCTTGTATCTCTTTTTTTGTACCTTGAGGAATTATCCCCAAAATTAACAGCATACTTGAACACAAAGCCAGTCTTAACAGATACAAAAAACCTGAAACCTGAGATCTCACGTTAGTAACTTAACAGCACACCTGAAAGCTCTAGAACAAAAAGAAATGAAACCCAAAAAGAATAGACACAAGAAATGGTCTTACGGCTGAGATCAAGAAAATCAATAACCCCATTAAAACACTTAAAAGAAATGTTCAACATCCTTAGTCATCAGGGAAATGCAAATCAAAACTACTATGAGATTTCATCTTGTATCTGACAGAATGGCTAAGATCAATAACAAGTGACAACTCATTCTGGCAAAGATGTGGAGTAAGGGGGAACACTCCTCTATTGCTGGTGGGAGTGCAAACTTGTACAGCCACTATTGGAATCAGTGTGGTGGTTCTTCAGGAAGATGGCAATCAGCCTACCCGCAAGATCTAGCTATACTACTCTTAGGTGTATACCACAGAAACACTTGCTCAACCATGTTCACTGATTCATAATAGCCAGAAACTGGAAGCCATCTAGATGTTCCTCAACAGAAGGGACCAGAATGTAGAGAGCCAGCTCAGGTCTGTACCAGGTCCTCTGTGTGTATATTATGGCTTCCAGTTTAGTGTTTTTATGGGACCCCTGGGTGTGTAAATAGGTGGGTCTCTGATTCTTGTGCCTTCTCCTGGGGCTATTTTCCTTCTGTTTGCTCTGTCCAACTTTGATGTGATGGTTTTGTTTTACCTTACTACATTTTATTTTGTTATGTTTCACTGTTATCTCCTAGAAACCCTTTCATTTTAAAGAAAGACAGAAAGGGGCTATTCTTACAGGAGTAGCATATATTCACATATAGTCATTCTCTACTTCAATAAGGTAGTCCATAAAAGTGTTAAGATATAGATGGATAGATGTATTGATAGATGATAAATAAAAAGGGATAGATACCATACACATTTTTTCCCCTGCCTACACCACCTCATTGGGTACAATTAAAAGGTAAAAAAAAAAAATGCTTCTAGATAAGGCATGAATTCTTCTTCTTCTTTTTCTTTCTTTTTTTTTTTTTTTTGGTTTTTCGAGACAGGGTTTCTCTGTGGCTTTCAAGGCTGCCCTGGAACTAGTTCTTGTAAACCAGGCTGGTCTTGAACTCACAGAGATCCACCTGACTCTGCCTCCCTCCCGAGTGCTGGGATTAAATGCGTGAGCCACTGCAGCCTGGCTGCATGAATTCTTAATAAATTAACAAAAGCATTATACAAATAAAAATGAGTACAGTAACATTTTTAAAAGCCTAACAATACTGTCAGGGTATCCAGATACATACCTTTGGGGAATGGGTTTTTCTGGGCTTGCAGTCGAATTTTAACAACATCCAGTGGTGTCACTACGAATATATAAATTTTGATTAAGATGTGATATCTCTAGATCTTTAAGATGTGTACACCCATTTAAAAAGCTAAACATCAACTCATACTTTCTCTCAATCCTATGCAATAGATAAGCTGCTTATGTAAAAACAGCACTGAATAGTCCTATCAGTGGGGTGTTCTACTGTTCCTATCTGCAACTACAATTCCACTAGTGTTAAAACTAAAGCACTACAATTTTAGAAAATACTTTCTTTAAAGCAGTGTGGTGGTCCCTTGGTTTCAGGCTCCATATTTTTAACTAGTTGAAAAAACATCTGTTAAAGATAAAAATATGTACACACACACACACACACACACACACACACACACACACACACATATATATATGTATATATATAATACATATATGTATATGTGTAATAAAGTTTAGTGAAAAATATCTCCAAAATTACCTGCTAAACTATAAAAACAAGCTACAAGTAACAAAAAAACACACAATGATAATCTTCCCAATCTGATCAATTTATCTGTATCAAATAAAGCCTGTAGAAAATAAAATTTGGGGTAGACTAGCCATAAGTCATCTTCAGCATTATGTTATGCCGTCCATTTGGGAGCAAAGAAAATTTGTATCTTATTTTCATTTGCATGCTCTATTTCATGAAAATAAGAAAAAGGTATCAAACTGTGGTTTCAAGAGAACTATTCATCAGAGAACAAGAAAGTCACATCAGATAATATGTAAGGTCATTATGAACTTGAATTCTGACCTAACGATATACCACAAGGCAATTGGTTTATATGTTCTAATCACTTGTTATCATAATTAAAGAAACCAGTCAACTTAAAATCATCCAAATGTTATCATATCATCTGTGCCATTTGGCTGTGTCTATAAGAAATGTACTATATGAAACATAAAAAAATAATCCTCAGAAACTTAAACTCTTAAGTCGCCCAAAATTATATTATTCCATATGAAAATATTTTATTCCTTTTCTATTTTAAAAGACCTAAAGGAACTGTAAGTTTACTAATGTTGATAGGGAACTTCAATAACTTATTTAAAGCCAATTTTCTTCCTCCTTTCTTTTTGGTTTTGTTTTTTGTTTTTTTATTTTGTTTTGTTTTGTTTTGAGAGAGAGAGTCTCTATTATGTAGCCCTGGTTGTCCTGGAACTCTTATGTATACCAGGCTGCCCTCTAAAGATCCAAACACTTCCATCAGCTACTAGATGAAGGCACTAGGATGGCATATAAGTTAGTCATCAATCTCATTATAAGGGAGGGGCATTTATTGCTTAGTTAGTTGGGGTCAACCTTGTAGATCTCTGTACGTTTCCCTAGTGCCAGAATTCTCTTTAAAACTATAATGGTTCCCCTCTATTATGGTATCTCTTTTCTTGTTTCTCCTCTATTATTCCCCCGGTTCACAGCTAAGCACTGAGCTGAACTCCTGGAATCCAGTTGCAGAGGAACAGGAGTGATGAGCAAAAGGGTCAAGACCATGCTAGGGAAACCCACAGAAACAGCTGACTTGAACATGGGGGAATTCATGAAACCCAGAATGATAGCTGGGAAACCAGCATAGGACTGTTCCAGGCTCTCTGAACATGGGTGTCAGCAAAGAGGCCTTGGAAATCTATCGAGCTTCCTGTGGTGGATCAGTATTTATCCCTAGCATACAAATGGACTCTGGAAGCCCATTCCACATAGAGGGATGCTCTCTCAGCCTAGACACATGGGGGAGGGCCTAGGCCATGCTTCAAATGATGTGACAGACTTTGGAGATCCCCTATGGAAGGCCTCACCCTCCCTGGGGAGCAGATAGGGGAAGGGATGGGGGGGGTCTGTGTGGGGCATGGGAGGATGGGAAGGAGAGGGAACTGGGATTGATATGTAAAATAAGATTGTTTCTAATTTAAATTAAAAAGTAATAAATAAATAAATAAATAATTAAAAAAAATCCACACGCCTTTGCTTCCCAAGTCCTGGGATTAAAAGCATGTGCCACCACACCCAGCTGAAACTCCTTATTTTCCACGAAAAGATAAAACTCAGAAAAACAGTCAACATCCCCAACTTGAGAGGTGACCTGTGAGTGAATAAGCAAGGACAGAAAGTGCAATGCTCTTCATTTCCTGTTCCTTTCACACACTGTGCTGATGAAGAAGGACTGGTGTCCTAGACAGTATGCACCATCAATGTAAAAGATGACTCAGTAAAGGGCCTGCCACACAAGTGTGCACACTGCACGGCCTGAAAGCCCCCGTGCTTGTTAAACACTGGCCCAGTGGCACTGGACTGTAATCCTAGCCCTGGGTGGTAAAGGCAGGAGGATCGTTGAGGCTTGCTAGCCAATCATTAAGCTCTGGGTTCAGAAGAAGGACTGAAGAAGACATCCAGAATATCGAACTCCAGCCTCCACAAACACCTGCATACACATATGCATCCATTAATATACACACACACACACACACACACACACACACACCACACACACACACACACACACACACACACACACCACACACAGGCACGTACACACACCAATAAGGGAAAGAGCAACAAAGATGCCGACACTGACTTCTGGCTGCCACAGGCACACATACACAAACGACAAATACGTATATATACACACACCCCTCAAAAGTAATTTCATTACTTTACAGATGATAAACTCTAATGGAGTATTCAAAGTTACATAGTCTGTAGTGGTAACATAATTTTACTCATCAGTGATGTCAATATAGCTCCAGTACAAGAGGCAAGCATTTGCTGAAGAGGTGTCACGTGGATTATTGGTGGTGGCCCCTCGGTTTCAGGCTCCATTATTTTAAACTGATTTAAAAAATCTGTTGAAACAAAAGATACAGCAACAAATGTACACACATATATGTAACACAATATATGTAATATGTAATAAGGTTTGGTGAAAAATAGCTTCAAAATTACCTGCTAAACTATAAAACAATAATCAAGAGTGCTTGCCTAGCATGCTCAAGTCTTGGGTTTGATTCTCAGCACTGCAAAAATGAAACAAAATAGAACAGAATAAAATTTATATTAAAGCACATGTTTTTATTACTGCCAAAAGTAAGTCATAGATGAAAGCTAGTGTGCAAATGCCATTAATAGCACACAGCGGCCTCTGGTAAGAAGGTGTTTGGCTAAGTTGCATGAGTAGCATTAAGTTTGCAGGACAGGTAACCAATAGGTAAGGAAATATCCTCTAACCAAAAGCAGTTAACTAACAAGAATTTACAAAATCAGTATGTTTACAGATAAACATTACTTCTCTATTCTAGAATAAAATACCATTCAATATAGCACAGTTTTTATTGCATACCAATAGTTGTTGCATAGCTATAAAATAAAAACACACAGCCTTAATCAGTATCTCATAAAAACTTCATGAGACAGGCAATACTTATTATGTTTTAGAAGTCATATATACATATATGTATATATATATATACATACAAACACATTTAGACATTGATATATGTATACATGCTGTTTTAAAAAACAGGAAATACTATTTATGCTTAGTACTCTGCTATGAATATAATACAAACACTATGATAACTTTGTATTATTTCTAATGCTTTACAGAGTACATAATTATGCTTAAACAATCTCTTATACTTAGGTTGCCAAATTCTCAATGGCAAGCCCTTCTGATATAACCTCCTACTCATGTATCTTCTTGTAGTCTTTCTATACTTACCTTAGTGAGGAAACTAAGGCAGTTAGGCTATAATATTTAAAATCTTAATACAGAGCCAGACATGGTGGCACATTCCTTTAATCCCAGCTACAGGAGGCAGAGACAAGAGAATCTCTGTGAGTTCAAGGCCAGCCAAGAATACACAGGCAGACTTAGTTTCAAACAAAACAAAACAGAACAGAACAGCTCTTAACATAAAGCCTGGTATGGTGGTGAACGTCCCAGTTCTCAGGAAGCTGAGACAGAAGACTAGTTTGGACTTTACAGCAGAGCTCTGCCACCCACTCACCAACAGATTTTGATGCAAACTTCCTTTCCAGAAAGACTAAGGCACCCTTTCACTGGCAGTATGCCATTCCAATCATTCTTTATGCTCACAGATCCTTTCTCATTACGTGTCTTGGCCCCTCCCTGTCCTCTGCTTCCTGGATGTCATGAGATGAACCTCTCTGCTTCCTATGCACCTCTGCCACAATGTCACATTATCAACAGTTGGCAAATGAATCTAATACAAATAATTATTAATAGAAGTCTTTAGAAAGCAGTAGATATAGGTTAAGTCTAAGTCAAGTTTACTGTGAATAGGAAAGAAAAAACATCTTTTGGCAAATGGAAGGAAAAAAAAGGAAAGTGATGGGTATTTTTAAAGTATTCATTGTCTAAACTCAAGAATGTAAATGTATATTTGGTTATGTAATCTGCAAAAAGCAAAAGTGAAGTAGGTTGAACAGATATTAACTTCATTAAAGGGCTTAGTATTTGGCTACAGGTGTAACTCAGTATTAAAACACAGGTACCAGGTTCAGTGCCCAGAACACACACACACACACACACACACACACACACACAGAGAGAGAGAGAGAGAGAGAGAGAGAGAGAGAGAGAATTTGACTATGTCATAAAACTACTTTAAGGCTAGACAATTCTAAATGAATTCATTTCTCTTTATGTACAGCCAAATAAATGCTGGGTGTCCAAACTCATCTACAAATGTGTTGGACCACATTCATAGCTATCCTAGGATGCATGTAGTATATGAGCCAAGTTGGCTTCCAGCTTTAATCCTACAATGGAGGGGGGGAGGCAGAGGCAGTTGGATCTTTGAGCTTTGAGGCCAGCCTGGTCTACACAGTGAGTTCCAGGACAGCCAGGGCTACATACAGAGACTGTGTCTCAAAAAACAAACAAAATAAAACAAAGAACAAAAAACAACCCCCCCTCAAAAAATAAATAAACAAACAAGTTAGACATACATAATTCTGCTCCATGTTCTCCAGTTTTTCTCAACACAGTGCTGTAATACAGTTTCTTACTATAAATAACTCTGGCCGATTTCACTTATTCTTGAATGAAGACCCTTCATCTGAAGGACTCCAGGAAGTACATTTTCAAGATCTACTTCAAGCTGGGTGTGGCGGCTCATGCATGTAATGCCAGCACTTGGGAGGCAGATGCATGCAAGATGATCTCTATTGAATTCCAAGTCTGCCTGGGCTACATAGTAAGTCCAAGGATAGGGAGAGACCATCTCAAGGAGAAACAACAAAACAAGATCTCCTTTAACATAAACCACATTCTTTTATAGACCTAATTACCAACAGGACAGATAAGGAGATTTCTATCTGTCTATGACCAAGTCCTTCTTCCTGGGGCTACTCTAAGATTTGGGTTTCAGTAACATTTCTTAAAATGACACTGGATGGTAGGCTGAAAAACTACTAACTACATGGTAAGTAGAGTTTTTCGATTATTCATTGTTTGTAAATATCACTTATGTAACACGTATGGGCAAGTCTAACCGCACGGGTCCAACTCTTTTACTGTCCTGTCTCAAAAGAAATATAACTCACCTTTCCCAAGAGCATAAAATGGACTTCTATTTTTAATCAAAAGAAACATGATTATACCTTTCCCACATCCTGAAAACTTTAAAAACAAAACAACCCAGTTTTCCCTTCTATCTATCACTCCTTTACTGGCATTTTTTTTAACAGTTTGCTCAAGCAGTGACTTCAGATTCACAGTTTTAAACTAGTACTTAACTATATTACCATTCAAATTTTACTTACCTATATTATCATCAAACTGCCATTAAGGGAATGAATGACACATGAAAACCATAGGCCTACGTTTCAGGTTATAGCCATTTGGAACTGTCTTGGGAATGGAGAAGTTGTGCAAGGCAAATGAGAAGGACAGCAATTAAAGAGCTCTTACTGTGCCTGGCCATGTCCTGTGCTTTCAAGAACATTCCACCTAACTCCCACAACAGATAAGAACTATTGTCCCCTTTTCACACACTGAAACTGAGCCTCAAAATTATCCAACTCCTATAGGTTGTCGAAGCTGGAACCACCTCAGTCCTGTGAGAAAATCCCAGACTTCCCACCCTTAAGTTTTGCTCCCAGTTCTCTTTCAGCTGATGCGCCTCCCTCTCTCCCAGCAAAGGACCTTCCCCTCTGCCTGCTTCTCTTTCTCACATTCTCTACCTACTCCAGGGCATTCCACCCCTCCCTCATGCTTCCATTCTAGTCTGTATTAATGTTTCCCAAACATTTAAACCATTTCACAAACATGGAAATTCCGTGTTCCTTCTGAAGCTTACATTTTGAAAATTGACTTTTGCCCCCAAAATGTCAAAACGCTCAAACTGTGTACCTCCTCCTTCTCAAGATCTGTTAGGCAAGCTGTATGCCTCTTCGTGCGTATGCGCCCTTCCCGGCTCCCGCTCCCACACTTTTCTTGTGAATACACGTATCTCCAACTGCCTAATAAACAGTTTCATAAAGACAGACACTTCCGTGAGAGCTGCTCCGAGCTCGATGCTGTTCAAAACAAAACCATTTCCTCCGGCTATCCTAATCCGTCTTGGTGTCCTATTTTGCCTAGCAATCTCAAAAAACCACTCGTCTGTGCTTCAATATTCTTATTTGCACTGACTGGTCTGTATCAGAAATCAATAAAACTGTAAGGAGTGTCATTTACGGCCAGGAGTTAAGAAGACATGCAACGCAGTACTTAACAAGCAGAAGCATATTCAAAACAAGTTTTGTGGGGGCATTTTCTCATCTGTAAAGCAAGATTAAAACAAATCACAAACGTCTCAATTCCGCCTTGACCATTAACCCCTTATCGTTACCGTTTTACAGGTGAAAAAAAAAAAAAAACCCTGACACTTCATTTTCCATTCTTTTATTGTTGCAAAATAAATAAATTAATTAATCATACACACAGACAGAAAGAACGGATCTGGACAGAACCAAAGTACCCAAAGGGCAGCGAGGGTCGGACGGGTGGACCCCCGTGTCGCCGCCACCCCGGCCACCCCGGCCACCCAGGACAGGAAGGCCTCTGCGGCCTGTCTGCAGGTCGGCGGGAGCCCGGAGCCGGGGCCCGCGTCCCCCCC